AAAATCAGAGTCTCTCTTTTCCCTTCATCCTTTCCAGATCTGGGTTTTCTTACCTCTGCAAACCCAGGCTCTGGGTTTTCTCAAACGACCGAGAAGCAAGTGATGATCGTCATCGTCGACGACAGCAAGCCAAACTTTCTGCTACTACTGCCGTCGGCCTTCTTCTTCTTCTTTCAAATCCAGATCTGGGTTTGAAAGAAGAAGAAGAAGGCCGATGGCAGTAGTAGTAGAAGGACCCAAATCTGGGTTTTTCTCAAAACACATCTACAATCAAGGCAAAGCTCTCCTGAGCTAAAATCTCAAAATCCCATTCTTCAATGCCCATTTACTGTAAAATCAAAGAGAAAGAAAAATGTCCCAAAATCGTATAAATCAATCGGACATGGATTACAAATTTACATGAACTATATAGACCTAACAAACCTACATCCAAAATAAGAAATATTGCATTTCTAAGTCAAAAACCACTGTCAGATCCCATCTTTCCTTTCGCATGCAAATCCACATCGAGTTTTCTGACAGGGACAAGTAGCGGAGACTGGACGGTAGCGATGGCGGCAACGGTCCGCTAATTCTGTTTTTCCTCAGGTCCAGGTGGAGTAGCTGCCTCGACACAGTTGATGGCAATTCCCCGGACAACTGATTTGAACCCAGAATCAAGACTCGTAATGTAGGTAACTCCGAGAGGCCCGACGGGATTGACCCGGTGAGTTGGTTGGAACTCAGATCGAGGGTATGTAGATTCGAGAGATACGAGAGGGAATGTGGGATGGGTCCGGTTAATCGGTTGTTGGTCAAGGAGATGACTTGGAGGTTACTGAGGAGATCGAGTTGGGGAGGGATAGGGCCGGTGACAAAGCCAGGGAAGAGAACGAGCTAGGTCAACTGGGTGAGGTTGGACAGAGCAGGGGAGAGTGTGCCGGCAAGTCCAGGGGAGTCGGAGAAGCCAGAGCTTGGGTTTGCAGAGGTAAGAAAACCCAGATCTGGGTTTGAAAACCCAGATCTGGAAAGGATGAAGGGAGAAGAGAGACTCTGATTTTGAAAACCCAGATCTGGAAATGATGAAGGGAGAAGAGAGGCTCTGATTTTGAAAACCCAGATCTGGAAATGATGAAGGGAGAAGAGAGATTCTGATTTTGATTTTGATTTCGGAGAGAAAGAATAAGAAGGATGATCTAATTGGTTTTTAGGGTTTTTAATTTGAAAAGGAAATGAAAGGAGAAACGAAGAAAACTGTGATTTTTGGGGAATTTGATTGAAACTGGAAAAAGAGAAAATAAATTTTTATGTGGGCCCCATTAAGAGGAGAAAGATGATAATCTGACGTGTAAAAAAATGCCACCGTAAAAAAATGCCACCTCATAATAAAACATATTCAATTATATTTTTTTCCATGTCATTAGAGTTAAGCAAAAAAAAAATGATTTGTTGGCAAGTTAACGTGACACCTGTCATTTAACTGACGGAAGGACCATTTTGGTACCGAAAATGAAAGTTTGAGGATAATTTTGGTACTTTTTAAAGCTGAGGGACAATTTTGGTACCAAAGTGAAAAGTTGAGGGACCAAAATGGTACTTAAACCAATAATAAATAACAAATTTAGAACAATCATACAATGATTCTATTTTAAATGAAACATATATAACTTGATAAAAAAATATATGTGTTGACGACCACTTAAAAATGGGATTAAGTGTGAAATATATAACAAAAAGGGAGTCGCCACTCGTCCAAATTATAAGGTGGGACAAGTCACCTAAAATGGGTCTGCACAGAGATCGAGGTTCGGGGGTTCGGTTAAGAGTGAGGAAGGGCATACGCACACCTCACAATCCTCCGCTTAAAGACGGTTGCATACTTTAACATTGGGGGTTTTGATTCAACTTATTTATCATATTTATGTTTGAGTCTTAATAGGCAAGCCTAAAAAAGGGATAGACCAAATTGTGACATTTTTAAATTTTTGGGCTAAAATGGACAAAATCAAAGACATGCATGCAAAGCGAACATAAATAAAAGTTAAAGGACTAATTTGATCAAATTCAAAACATGGCGGACTGATTTGGTTAAATTCAAAACATGAAGGACTGATTTGAAAAGAGTTGAAACATGTGGTCTAAATTGCTTAATTGTGAAAGTTTTGGGTAAAATTAAAATGAGAAGGTAATTAACGGCAATTAAGGATTTAAATTAATTAATATAGTAATTAACTTAATTGAATAATTAATTTAACATTAATTAAGATTAATTAAAATTAATTAATCATATTATCAATCTTTGATCAAGATAAATGATATAATTATCTTAAATTAAGATCAATAAATATGATTAATTTATTTTAATTAATTTTAATAATAAATTAAGTTAATTATCTTGATTAATTAATTTACTTTATTTACATTATGTTTTTTTTTTTACTAAATCAGAACCGAACAAAAGAAAACACAACCGAACATCAAATAACCAAAAAAAGAAGATCAAACATGCAAACGACTTAGCCAAAATTAGGGTTCATCATGAATACATTTATTTTTTTTGGCAGAAAGATGAACAGATTCACAGATTCATCAGGCAACTAAACAGGCAAATATATAATCTTTCATTCATTTTCTCAAGAAAAACATACGATCCTGAACATTAAATGAAAAATACAAAGAGAAAGAAATCAACAAACAAAACACCCACGGCGGAATTCTTCTAGGAAAAGCAGATCCAGATCTGATGGGAGGGATCCCACCCACGAGACCAGGCTCCCATCGTCCCCTTCACCACCGTTCCCAGAAAAACTCCTCTGTTCAAAGGTTTACCTAAACAAAGCAGACACAGCAAACAAGCCCTCCGTCAACTCCGGATACAAAACCGAGCCCCCTTTCAACAGAAAGCTCTTCCTTTTCTCCGCCGGTAACACCAGAACCACAAAAAAATCCCCCCCTCTTTCTAACCTAAAACCCTCTATTTATACCCAAACACCAAAAACCCTAAAAACCCTAAACGGAACATTCTAGAAATCAATCTCCGGGTCTTTTGGATCCCGGTTTTGGGCTCTTCAGATCTGTTTCTCGAATCTGCAAGGCATTTGGGCCTCCCCGATGTTGATCCTTTTTACAAAAATCCGGGCCATGCACTTGGGCCTTCATCCACGCCCAATTCACTCTGTCGTCACCCACCCGTGATCCGTAGCTAGCATAGATTGGCTCTGCAGATTTGTTTCAGTTGGAGGGAGATCGGGATTTTGCCAACTCGTCAAAGCTCCGCGTGCACATCACCGCCACCGCTGGTTGGTAGATTCAACTCTCCTCTTTCCAATTCCCGTGCTTACTCGCCGGCGCGGGTCATGGTGGCTCGTGGGGATGG